TATCTTATCTTCGCTGGTCTATTTACACATTTTGAAGACCAGCCTGTTTTCTTGAATATCAATGCTTCGGCACTTATATGATCTTATTGTGTTGCAAGTGTCGTAAAACTCTTACTAAAACTAAAAACTGAAGAATATCAATGCTGTAGGAATCTACGAACAAGCAAAGGTGTTGTGAGAGATACGCTAATCTCTATTGCTCTAGTTTAAAATAACTAGAAAGGGGCAATAGAATTGTTGTTGTTGTTTAATAAGCGTTTATAATATAAAAAAAATATCCCTTACACAAACATTATATGAGGTACATAAAAGAAAAACACTTTTCATTTCTCATTCTACAAAGGCAGTATTCTACAAACAGAATGATAGGGGAAAAGGTTTAAGTTCTTTCAACCTTGTTTATGGCATAACGATCAGTCTTGATAATAAGTCTGATAATGTTTCTTTCTATTTCTGTACAGCGAAACCCCAGTGTAGCTTTCAACAATTCCAATGCTCGGATGGAACTTGTATCCAAATGTCCTGGAAATGTGACGGGGACGCTGACTGTACTGATGGAAGTGATGAGAGTAGATGTGATGGTATGGCCTTATTTCTTTTTTCTTTTTTTTTTTTGTCATGTTTTTTCATGTATTCGGGTACCTTTGCATTGGTTAAACAGTTCTAATACTTAGACATGCTTGTTTTTTCGCACTCAAGCTTTAATATAGGTAGCCTGTTGGACTTGAACATCCAGCTCTCTATGGTAAGATTGAAGACAAACGAGGCAGGGGTAGGCCCAGAGCCACCTACCTAGAGTATATAAACAGATGGGTAACGGGAAAAGAGCAGGGTAACGTGGCTTTTTTAAGAGTATCCGAGCAAAGGAATGAATGGAGAACCATGTTCGTTGATGTCTACTTGATGATGATGATGATGATGATGCCTCAACCAGGGTGTGTGTTGTTAAGGATAGGCTATTCCCTGCGCACATAAAAGATTTGACTTCTTTTCCCAATTGATGAATTCTATTTAATTTTTATGAAGTTGTTCATCTAGGATGCCGAGTAGTACTCCGGAGGGGTTGATGTAGACACATAAGGTAGAAGAAGCATGTCCCCTAGGTGACAACTAACGTCTTCTTCTTCTTCTTCTTCTTCTTCTTCTTCTTCTTCTTCTTCTTCTTCTTCAGGTGTCAGTTCTGGAGCAGACATTGACATCTATGGTTCCCCATTCCTTCCTGTTGTCTGTCTTCTTGATCAGCTCCGTTTTCTTTTTCTTTGTGTAATTCTTTGCAAAGTTGTTCAGGCCATCTGTGTGTGTTGTTCTCTCTTTTCCTCTGCTCTTCATTTTGCTCTATCTTTCCACACAGCATCAGTTTCTCTCGTCCATTTGATCTATATATTATTTGTTGAAAGAATCTCAGTTGTAATTTTTTTCCCAAATACCATTAGGAGCACTTTTCTATTTGTTTTCCTCTCTGTCCCTGAGATTATGAGTACCCTCAATGAATACATGTACTACATATCGCGGCCTCCAGTCTTCTCTCTGTGTCCTTATTTAGAGGCCAGATCTAGCTTCCATACAAAAGAAATGACCATAGGTACGCTTTCAGTAGTTGTGACAACTTGTGCTTAAATCAATAGTCTTACAATTGCAATATTCAGTAGTCAATACGAGATAAACTAGATAACAAAATTACAAACCTGCAAGGGACGGTGTGAGTGCAGTGAAAGAAATATGAAGATGATATTGGTTTCTTTTCTTCCTTTAAAAAAAAAAACGACACTTCAAGTCAAGTGTACCTCTGAACACTTCAACTGCTCGGATGGAACTTGCATCCCCCTCATATGGGTATGTGACGGGGCATACGAGTGTTCCGATGGTGGCGATGAGCGGAATTGTCCTGGTACGACGTTGTTGCTTTAAAGTCTATAATAATTTTATGTATACTTTCTTTTTTGTATGCTTAGATATACAGTATAATAATTTATGTGGCATCGTGGTGAACGTAGGCGCTTGTCAAAATAATGGAATCGAAGAGACCGCCAGTTGGACAATTAAAAAAATTTTTTTGTTATTTTCTTTTAATTTCATTTTTTAATGTTTTCAATTTATTTTGTATTTTTTGTTTTTTGTTTTTTGTGGGGGGGTGTATTGGGGGGGGTTGGGGGGGGGGTTGGGGGGGGTTTACCTCCATTTTAAAACATATTTTTGTGTGAATTTGACTGAAAAACTTTGAGCAACGGCACAAAAACTCAAAATCTGCTGTTTCTAAAAACACTCAAGCTTCAAGTCTCCCAACTTCGGCAGCCATTTTCTCACTAACGATACCTCTGACACTAGGCGACCCCCACATCCTCCAATCACAAATATCTCAACTTCTATTCAAGATAGATGTGCCTTTTTTCCCACAAAAATCGAGACAAATATACAAGATTTAAGATTACATCAATAACTCCATGTGCCCAAAAATTGACAAGTTCCTACTTCCACGGAGTCGCGACACATTTATGTTTCTATTTCTTGTAAGAGAGCTTGTACAGCCTGGACAGTTCTGTCCTCTTATTATGCTTAATTCAATAACAATCTGACATTTTAGAATCAGTCTACGACAAGCCAGGTAACCAAATTACAACGTAGCCAGGGAAGGTTTGGGCTCAGTGAGAATAGAATATGAAGATATGTTGTTGTTTGATTTTTCAATAACAGGTAAACCTCAATGTACCTCTGAACAATTCAACTGCTCGGACGGAACTTGTACCCCGCTCAAGTGGCGGTGTGACAAGGAAAAGGACTGTCCAGATGGAAGTGATGAGATTGGATGTGATGGTATGGCGTTTATGAAAGAAATAAGCTTTTATGATATACACCCAATATAGATTATGCCTTTTTATATAGATGGTATGGCTTTAAAAAAAAGCTTTTATAATATACACTCAATTTAGATTAAGCCTTTTTTTATTCAGATGGTGTCTCGTTAATTTAAAAAATAAGCTTTTAGAATATACACTCAATAAAGATAATCCTTTTTTTTTATTCAAATGGTATGGCTTTAAAAAAAGGCTTTTGTAATATACATTGAATATAAATTATGCCTTTTTTATTCAGGCGGTAAATCTCAATGTTAAAACAAGCAAAGCATATCTTTACACTGCTCCTATTAGTCATTGCAAGTCCCGTACAAAAATGTAAACAATACCAATTCCTAAAAAATGCAGGACCAACTTTTCATTTTCAAATCATTCTGAAATGTGAAAAGACATAACCTTTATGTGGCACCGAGGCATCTTTAATAATATGTTACCGGCAATGGTATCTATAATGTTTTGATATCTTGCCCCATCCCTGATAAAATATATATTTTCAAGAAACCAACAGACAATGAAGAAGTGTTAGAATGTCCGCTTTCTTCTAGCAGTCGTACTTATAAATATATAATATACATATATATTTGTATATATATATATATATATATATATATATATATATATATATATATATAT